TGTGTGTGTGTGTGTGTGTGTGTGTGTGTGTGTGTGTGTGTGTGTGTGTGTCGGATCACACATTTCCTTCTTCCACTATAGATCTACTTGTGTGGGCGATGCCTGGCGGCGGCCTCAGGGTGTTTCCTCATGTGCCACGCAAGTGCGTTCTTCTGACGACACCGGTAGTCACACAGCGGGCACTGCAGCGGCTTCTGCTGGTGGGCGGGGCTTACGGCGCTAGGACCGCCCTCGTCTGATGACGTAGGCGGCTGTGACGTGAGGCGTGTCTGTCGACGAGACGCCATGGCAGGCGGGCCCACTGCGGTGACGTCATCGTCGTCGTCTTTGTCGGGAGTTGTGGGGAGGCTGGAGGCTGGCTCGCCGAGTTTGGATGAGCCATCTGTCTGGTCGGACTGATCCTGGCCTAAAGAAGGGTGAAATGGGCTTATATCTGGCTGTTGCTCTCGGGATTGGAAGCCACTCGGAGAGACTCCTGAGAAGGGACTTGCAATAATCACGTTGTGTTTACGACTCAGGTGAAGGTCAAGGTCTTTTTGTTCTCGGAAAAATATTGGACAGTCTTCCACCGGACACATTATCGTCTTATGAGACAAAGATTTTTTCGTCTTTGAGATTCTCAGTTTTTTGTTCGGGTCAGGCATCAAAACGGGCTCCGTTACTGTTGGAGAAGCGGAGTCTCTTAAAGGTTCGTGGTTTTCCTGAATGTGGGTCAAATATTCCGAGATCTTTGAGAACTCGCGACGGCACAGGCTACAGAATAGATGATCAGTCCCTCTTCTGGAAATTATAGGATCCGAATTTCTTGAACCTTCTTCGGTGATCTGGACGCCAGACGGCACAGTAGCGACAGGAGAAGCCGGGGGTGTGGCGTTGCTGAGGGAGGCTCTCGTTGTGAAAGTAGACGAGGCTGGCGAGGAGGGGCGGGCGGGTTCTGGGAGGGCGGAAAATGGCGAGTCGTTGAGGGCGAACAGTTTGGAGGAGCTGATCACAGAGGGGGCGTGGCTCCGGCACGTGTCACAGCGGGCCTGGGGGTCCCAGTAGTGCTTGTGGAACACGTGACCACAAGTGACGCAGCACTCGGCCTTCAGTTCCTCGCCGCTAGGGGGCACCAGCGGCGCGTCGGGGAAGTGTCCGGCACCCCGAGACTGACCAGCCGGGACGGGCGTCTCGCAGACCTGGCACTCCACGTGGTGAGGGGACAGTTTACTCCCACACGCTTCACACACCCCGGCGCCCGACTCCTCCGCTTCATTCATGACGTCATCAAGCACGCCATCTTGGGACGCGGTCTGGAGCTCGCCGCTGGAGCAAGGGTACTGTTCGTGAAACTTCCAGACCAGCACTGACCCGGATTTCCCGGAATCTTCCTCTGACCTACTTTCACCCCACGCGTCCGCCTTTTTTCTCTTCAGACTGGCGATGGTTTCGGCGGCCGCGGCTGTAGCGGCAAGGACACCACCGCGACGTCGTCGAGGCTTGCGCGGAGTCAGGGCCCCGCCTTTCGGCTTCAGGCGGAAGGTCGCGTACATAAAGTTCTCGTCCGATTTCAGAATCCTGGAAGTCTTTTTCCGCCTCGGTTTGAATTCTGGTTTCGTGCTGTTGGCCTCTAGGGGGGATGTTTTCGGTGTTTCGGACGCATCAATGAGAGTTTGTTGGAGATTTTGTTGGGAGATTAGTTGTTCGCTGTTTGTTGTTGCAGAGTTTGAAGTGTCCATTCCTCCTCCTCCTGCTCCTCCTCCTCCTGCTCCTCCTCCTGCTCCTCCTCCTCCTGTAGAATCTTCTCTCATTTCAGACACAAAGTCGCGCGATACTAAAGTAGGTTCGCCTTGAAAATCGTCGTCGTCGTCTTCGTCCATCTGCACTTCTGCCTGTCCATCATTGTTGTTGTTATCCCCAAGACTGGAGTGACAGACGGAGAGTTGGGAGTGTAACAAACTCTGCATGTTTTGGAGGGTGAGTGGGGGCGGTGCTTCGGAAACACGAGCAGCGTTCATTTGAGGATCTGAAAGAACAGGGTTCGAATCTATAGCGAGTCCAGACGGTGAAGGTGTCATTGACATAGCTGCAGCAGAAGTCTGCATCATATCCATGGGAAACAAAAACCGATGACCGTCGGTGAGGGAAGTGGGGAAAAGCTGAGGTTCAACGAACTTCCCTGCTCCTTCATCGAGATTCTGAAGCTGCTGTGAGGTCAGTGCGTTCGTCGTGGGCTCAGAGAGTGATGACGTCACGATGACGGGGACTTTCGGGGGACGCCCTCTCTTCCTGCCAGACTTTTTGGAATCGTTCGGGCTCGTGCTGGAGTAGACAAGCATGACGGGATCGTGGGAGGTGGACACACTCAGGTGACCACCAGTAGAGGGAGACTCACCAACCTTCGCGTCGCTTCCCTGATCCTGGGCCGGGTGGGGCTGACCCGGGAGAAGTATCGCCTCCGAGCCGGGGACGGGCAGGGTGTGGTACGACTCCTCGATCTGCTTCTGGAGTTTTCTCTGCTCTTCCTGGAGGCGGATCTGGTACTGAAGGTGAAGGTCGTGCTGCTGCTGTTGCTGTTGTTGTTGTTGCTGCTGTTGTTGCTGCTGCTGTTGCTGCTGCTGCTGCTGTTTAGACTCACTCTCCCGCTGCTGGAGTTGACGTTGGTACTCCTGTTGCTGCTGCTGTTGCTGCTGTTTTTGTTTCGAGAGGGATTGCTGCTCTTGCACTTTCTGTGCGTCGTTTGGGATAACTTGAGCGCTTAGTTGACGCATCATTTCGCTAGAAAGCTGAGCGGCACTTGGCAGATTAGCACCGATTTCTCTTTGTGAGTCAAACAGAATATTTCCAGCAGCCCCGGCTCCCAGAGACGAGTGTTCGAGGGTTCCTTCCATCCCCGCCACACTCCCTGTCTCTGTCACCACTTCTCCGCTCTGTTTCTGCACAAGATCTTTCACAACTTTCCGCTTTCCGTCTCCAGATTTAGGCGTTTTGTTCTTATTTCTCGATCTCCTCGACCAGGGAAGTTTGAGAATGCTCGTGTAGACCCCGGGGAACAGCGTGTTTTCCGTCACCAGCTTCATGTCTTTGCTCTGGTTTTTGCTGGACGCCCCCCTCGAGCCGCGCCCCCTCGGCCTGCCTGGTTTGGCGCGTGACGTGTCCACCAGGGCGGTGCTTGTCGTTGATGACGTGGCCGTCTTGTCCAAAAGTAAGCCATGAGGCAACTGTTGCTGCTGGAAGGAGCCCACGTTTACAGCGAGAGAGTCTCCGCTGTTACAGCTGGTTGCGGTGGTAGATCTTGAGAGGTGGTCGAGGTGGAGAGCGGTATGCGGTACACACCCCAGCTCCCCTCCGGATTTGGTGGGGTAGTCCGAACTGACCACGCTGGTAGACATTCTGACGTCAGCAATGGACACGTCTCTGTTGAGAGACGTTTGATCGGACGCTGCACCGCTGTAGGCTGACTGTAGGTTGGGGTGAGGGGCGAAGGCGAAAGGCTGAAGGCCTGTGATTCCCTCCGGCAGGGCGTGTAGCACAGGGATGGCGACCATACCGCCAGAGGAAGTCGGCGCTGCCATGAACAGAGTAGGCATCGGTTGTGGGGCGGACGCAGGCAGCGGATGTGACGTGTCTCCTGCTGATGTCACCGCCGCCGTTGTTGGCGTCGTCTGCTTCTGGTTCCCGCTACTGCCGCTGCTCCCGTCCACGTGCAGAAGGGTTTGGTTCGACACCCCAGCGGGGTGCGGTTCGAAGAGAAAGTTTGGGTATGTGCACATGTCAGCTAAAGAGTTATTTACAACGCTGGTTTGTGTTTCCCCACTTTCTTGTTTTACAGAAACAGAGTTTGGAAAATTCCCTGAACTCAAAGTTTGGGCTCTGTCTAAGGGTTTCGAGCTGCCAGCTACAAACCTTTGCGTTGCTTGCAAAAGTTCTTGGAGTCTGCCGTGATGAGGAACTGATTGTTGCGACTCTCTAGCAGCGGCTGAGGTGGAACAGGTGTCAATGTCAATGGGAATAAATTTGACGTCCGGGTTATCCGGATTGATTTGCAAGAAGGAAAACGTCATGTGGTTCTCCGCGGAGGTGGGGCCACCGGAAGTTGGACTCGGCTTCGCAGAGCTTTGACCTCCGGACGCCATACTCTCGTGTCCATTTTTGATGACACTTTGCTGCAATATGGCCTCGGTGTATGACGGCAGGGACAGACTGGAAGGAAAAAGCCCCGATGCTGTTTTTGATTTTTTCGTGGAAATCCCCGGTGATTTCTCCTTTTCCTTGGCGATAGTTCTTTGCTGAGTGAAAGGGGAGAGAGATGCTAAGTCCACACATGTTTTATCGGGTTTAGGCGATACCTGAAGACTTACGGCGGACTGTTGTTTCTCCACCAGAGATAAATTGTTTGGCGATATAGCGTTTGTTTGGGAGGTCGACCAGAGCGCACTCTTGACACTCGTAGGTCCCGCGGTCGGCTCTAAGTCAATGACGTAAGGCGGGGCGTGGGTGGAGGGAACGGAGTGGGGAGAAATTCGATTGGTGGAGAAGTCTGTGGACGGAGGTAATCGATGACCTTGTAATACGCCTACTAAAGGAGACAGTTGAGGATTTTCTGACTCGTTTTCGCCGCCTTCCCTCTCCGGCGCCTCGGAACAGTTTCCTTTGTTGACGGTTAGGTCTAGCGGCGCCATACTGATGGCCTCCTGTTCGTCCGGGAAGAGGGTGGTCAAGCTCTGGTCAGCGGGCAGTTCGTGAGCGTGGGAGTGGTCGGCTTCTGATGACCCCGGGGGCGAGGAGCCGCATGACCCTGCGCTTGACTTTGGCTTGGAGAGGTCAAGGACACTGGCGGCGTTATTGCGCTCCAGCAAAACATCTATGACGTCATCCAGCTTTCGTTCACGAGTAGGGTGAGCCAAACTAGCCAGTCTGTTGAAGTAAAAAAAAAAGCACTTAGCGAAAGAGTTAAAAATGACAATGATTTAGACATATCACTTGGCACATTCGTCCCAGAAATGTTGTGTATCTTTGCTCGATCTTTTTTCCCTTTAGAACGTGGCAATGCCACAGACATGAATTTTTTTCTATTACCCATTGTTGTTGTTGTTGTTGTTGTTGTTGTTGTTGTTGTTGTTGTTGTTGTTGTTGTTGTTGTTGTTGTTAGGTTGGGGGGTCATTTATTTTTACTTCCTTTTTTTTACTGAGATGCACTTCTCGAGTAAGGATCAAGAAGTTAATCAACGAGTGGCATAGCAAAGCAATTAATGACGACCAAATGGTGCACGTCGGTGTTAGGTTTATGCAAAAACAATTCGAACTAAAATCGACAACTTTGAAACAAAATAAAACTATCAGTTGAACTTACCTGTAATGACAAGGAGACGTGATTTTCGTTTTGTTTTTTCCAAACTACGAACACTTTAATTTTGGTTAAATAATTACGGCTTAAATCCATGTGAGCATCTGAGCCCCAGAGTTTGGTTAAGATCAAGGGGAACAAATTATAATATGATATCTCATATAGAGATCAAGGAAAAATATAATATCTCAGAGAAAGATCAATCAAAAATATAATATCTCAAATAGAGAACAAGGAAGGTATAGATCTAATACCCCAAATAGAGATCAAGGAAGATGTAATATCTCAAATAGAGATCAAGGAAAAATGTAATAATAATAATCTTAAAGAGAAATTAAAGTAATAACAAAATTGTCTCAAATAACTTTCATTCTTCCTCACAAGCACACCACCACAGCCCACATTCAGCAGAACCTGTGCCCATGTCTGGCCAACGTGGCTACTGTCTAAAAGAAAATGAACACACGTAAAATGCAGCTCTGGCGTCGTTGTCAGACCAAGGAAACATAATATCTTCTTTCAAAAGATTCGCATGCCACCACATAAGCCTGTCGCAGCACAGATAGACAGTACACTCACGGTTGAGCAGATCTCTTGTGCGTCACATGCCTGGCTACAGACACACACACCCACACACCCGCCGCTACCCCAACCCCACCCACCACCCCCACCCCAAACCCCCAAGCTCCCCCCCCCCCCAACTGGCGTCTGAGGTGTAGCGGTTAGGCGCTTCGCAGTCGTAAAAAGGAGACCTAAGTTCGATTCCAATGACAATTCGAAACTCCAATTTGTGAATCTTGGTTCTAAATGTCTCGCAGCATTGCCTTTCGTCTGCCGGTGATCGGACAAATTAAACGTGCCCGCTACGTCTGAGAGTGAGAGGGGGGTTTTATGAATTAACTGTTTGGAGACTGAGTGTGAGAACGGCCTACCCCTTGTACTTCCTCTACATGATATGCAAAAGAAAGAACTCCCATTTCTTTCTTTTCTCAGATAAAAACCACCATGTCAATTTTATTTTTCATGTGAGGGAGATAGCAAAGTGTGTGAAAACTTCCAACTCAAAATATTATATATCTTAAAAACGAGTGTAGCTGTGATTGAACCTTGTTATCCTGTAGTAGTAGTAGTAGTAGTAGTAGTAGTAGTAGTAGTAGTAGTAGTAGTAGTAACGTTATTATCCTTATCATCATTACTTATTCTTATCATTATCATAAATAGTATTCTGGGGTCACAATTTGTTGACGTGAGGTATAAAACCATAATATACCATGTCTTACACTTTCTCAAAATCCTGAAAATCAGAACTCAGATCTCAAAACGGTAAAGCGAAATTGTCATTAATGAAATAAAGCGAAATTGTCATTAATGAAATAAAGCAAAATTGTCATTAATGAAATGTGCGATGAGTTACTACTCATGACTGGTCGGTCGGTGGGTGCTCTGGTGGGGTTTTTTGCCCCTCCTTTCCTATCAAATAAAATGTCTATTGTCCTTTTCTCTACTCCTTTTCTATATGACCTTAGCAGTTGCGAGCGCCGTAAAACCCTATACTACTATACTCCTTTTCTTTGTATGTTACACCCTTGAAACACCGCTAATCTTTGGTCCATTTATGACTCATTTGTGTTGCAAGTTCCGAAACGCTTTTCTTCATCACCACTGCTTTCCTCACCCTGCATCAGGCTATAGACCTCGAACTAACACTTTCTGCCTTACTTTAATGATCTAGGGCAAGCCTCTTTGATATTATTCAATTTCTCCCCACTTTTCAGTACAGTATTCTCTGTGACTCTTCTCCTATGTTCCACTTGGCCTTCCCCTGGATCTCTCACCCTGTGTATTCCAATCCAACACTGTCTTAGTTCTGCAACTGCCTGACTTCCTGAGAGTGTGTGCCGTAAATGTCTTGTTAAAACCAAAGATTACCTCTGATAATCTTTCAACAGCTTCCGCATGAGCCGAGAGCTGTCTAGTTTGGTCGCTGATTTGAGCGCCTCAAAGTCTTGGTATACGTCATCGGGCAGGGCTATGTGAGGAGGCCCCGCCTCTTCCTCTGACGTCATGGCCACGCCCATCGCGATGTTGTTCGCCGGAACAGGAAATGACGGCCTCATGGAAGACAATGACGTCAGTGCTGAGGGTTTGTGGGAGGCTTTCGACTGTTGACCTTGAACTCCAGCGTGAGCTGTGAGGCCATCTCTGTTGATCCGGCTGGGGTTTATCTGAAAGCAACAAGCAATTAAAAGATTAACTGTTAGTTAATCCCCAAAAAAAATTAATTAATTAATAAATCGTCGGCCGGATTTTCAGATGTATAGCCCCCCAAAAAAGAAGAAAAGATAAATACTGTTTGAACATGAAGATGGAGGCTTGTTGTGGCAATGAGTCGGGCACCAACTGACGAACGCAGCCCAGTAACAGGAGACAATGAAGCGGGTAGATAGATGGCGCCTTATCTGATTTGTGCTTCACTATTCCGCCGTTTATCAGTCTATCTCCCCATCCTTTTTTCTAGCACTAATAAGTGGCCGATTTCTCCTTACTTAAACTACGGAGTGCTCTGTTAGCTCAAATGGTATCATGCTGGACCTAGGAGCAGATGGCCCCGGTACTTGAACCCAGGTTGTTTCAGTTGTTTTCGTGGAGTTTCCAAGGCCCTCAACAACCCATTTCACTCGGTTCTATAGGAGAGAGACGGACATTAAAATTCAGAGGTCGCGTCTTTTAAATAAGCTAATACTCGTGATAAGGGTGTTTTAAACTCATACACCTACTTATTTTACTATAACCATGCCCATAAGCTGGAGAGAATAGTAAATGTGGGACAATAAAGCACATCAATAAGTACTCGTACTTTCTGGTGGAATGGTGGATTGCTTTCAGATTTGCGGGGAAGATGGTGCTTGGGCTTGGAAGGTTCCTTCAGATTGACACCCACAACCCCAGCTCAAAAAGGGATGTGCCTTTGTGTCTATATATCGATTTCGGTAAAAGCTTGTCGAAGTCTTTAAAAGTTAATAATGAAAAGTCAATTGAAACATGAAAGACATTTAAGCCTGAAGAAAAGAGTAAAGTTAAATTGTTGTTTTTAGTAGAAATATCATACTCTTTTAGATATATACGAGTACAAGTTTGCCTTTTCGGACGTATTCCCATTGGCAAAATGGTTAAAAATCAGATCAAAGCAGGATAAAGATGTAGACAACACACTAAAGGGCAGTCGAATCTGCTCTGAAGGTCTCCTGTAAATAATTAATAATCGTTCCCTGTTTTGAAAAATGGCCAGGAAACCTGACGCAGTTTGCGCCGATATTGAAACAAAGAGCCGTTCTCGTTCTCTCAGGTGACGTACGACGGGTTCATCAAGGTCATCACTCAAATGCGAAACTGAAATAGGGTCCAGTGTGTCTGCACGTTCAGACAACCTCTTTTCTCCTCCACAAATGATGGTCGTTTTAGGCAGTTTCGACTGTAATTATTTATACATACCACGCATGTACATGGTCGGAGAAGAGAATGGTGTTCCTGAATGTTATCCCAACGAAATATAAGACGCAGATTTCCGTTTTCCTTTACCCACTGTGTGTGTGGAGGAGGGAGGGGAGAGAAATAAAAATTCACATTATAAGTGAGTGAGGGAGGCAGGGAGGGAGGGAGTGAGAGAATGAGTGGATGAAAGAATGAGTGAGTGAGTGAGTGAGTGAGTGAGTGAGTGAGTGAGTGAGTGGGTACGTCTGCTAATGCATGGTTGAGTGAGTGAATGAACGAGTGAATAAAGGAGGAAACAAAATTAAATACCGTTTGAAAGCGCTTGATAACCAGAATTGAGACAACAGGCAAACACAAAGATTCTTAGAAAACAATAGGGATAAAGAAATCCGGCCAGTCGTGTATTGTATAAAAATAGCGCTGTTACGCTGTAAATGGCACAGATCCACACAGGTAGAGAATGGTGATGGTAGACTGTACTTAGTGTGTGTGTGGGCGAGAGAGAGAGAGAGAGAGAGAGAGAGAGAGAGAGACAGACAGAGACAGAGAGACAGAGACAGAGAGAGAGACAGAGAGACAGAGAGACAGAGAGACAGAGAGAGAGAGACAGAGACAGAGACAGAGACAGACAGACAGACAGACAGA